GGCCAGGCGTCCTCCTTCTTTTCCTGCTGGCGGCGTCCCTCCTTCCTTCCTTCCTTCCTTCCTTCCTTCCTTCCTTCCTTCCTTCCTTCCTTCCTTCCTTCCTCCCTCCCTCCCTCCCTCCCTCCCTCCCTCCCCTGCTTCCCTTCCTTCCTCGCCGGTGCAGAGAGGGGTGGGTGGGCAGAGACCCTCAATCCCTGCCGCCTTTCTTTTCTCTCTCGCTGGAAGGGAGGGCTCAGCTGCCATGGAGCCGGAGGGCGCAACCTCTAGCTGCCACCTCCTCCTCCTCCTGTGGCAGGGCCCAGCAGGGAAGCCATCATCCAGGGCTTTTGGCAGCAGCCCGGCCATGCTCCCCTCCCTGGCCCCTTCCCATGGCGGTGGTGATCGCCCGGTTAGGGCAGCGGGGGGGGCTTTTGGCGGGTTGGGGTGGGGTGCAGTTTGGCGCCCCTGAGGGCCGGCGCGCCCTAGGCGAGCACCTAATTCACCTAGCAGGCGAGCCAGCCCTGTGTACTGTGCTCACTTTTTCCTACATGTCCTTGAACTACAGTTGTTAGTAAATCTCTAACAGTTTGTTATTCCGCCTTGGTCCTCACACCTCATTTGGTCACTTATAAGGGGAAACCTACTGGAAAAGGAGCATATAAAGGGGTAGAGTGTGTGCTCTGGGCCCTCCCGAGGAGACCCATACCAGAGTGGTGGCAGCCATTAGAGAGCCTACTGTGATACCATCCAACACAGTAAAACAGGGAAGGGATTGCAATACAACAATTGCACAACCTGCCAGTGGTGCGCTGATGCCACCATGGTGCTGGTGTTGCTAGTCGGGACCCAGCAGCTGTTCTGCAGGGTGGCAATCAATGATACAAACAGCCCTCAGCAATGCTCTGGCTGCAAAGTTATCACATCGGAGGGCATAGCAAACCCACTGACACCCACCAGTCATGGAGCCGCATCCTTCCAATGCCCCATTAGCAGCACACGTGGACATGGCCATCTGCCAGACAGACAGTTGGCCAGACGGACAAAAGGAAATACTTCTTTACATAGTGAGGGATTGAAATGTGGAACTTCCAGAAGACATGGGCTGATTTTGCACAAGGAGCTGTGCCGCCGTCATGCCTTCCTTTGCCCTGTTTCCATTTCCCACTCAAAGCCGTGCAGCCATATTTTGACCTGCGGCTTTGCCCGATTTCCCCCGTGATTTCCTAATCCTCAAAAAACAGGATCACGAAACCACGGGGAAAATCAGGCAAAGCCGCAGGTCAAAATGCGGTCGTGGTCTTTGAGTGGGAAATTGACCAATGGAAACGGGGCAAAGGGAGGCGTGACGGCAGTGCAGCTCCTTGTGCGAAATCAGCCATGGTGATGTCCACAGGCAGAGACAGCTTTAAAAGGAGATTAGACAGATTCGTGGAGGAGAGGTCTATCAGTGACTACTAGGCACGGTGGCTGAAGGAAACCTCCACATTCAGAGGCACTAAACTTATGAATCCCAGAGTCAGGAGGCAACATCAGGGGAAGGCCTTGGCCTCTATGACCTGTTGTTGGTCATCCAGAGGAACTGGTTGGCCACTGTGTGAGATGGGATGCTGGACTAGATGGACCATTGGTCTGATCCAGCAGGTCTCTTATGTTCTTAGGAATGTCTTGGGCTCTATGCCCCATTGTTGGCCTTCCAGAGGAATTGGTTGGCCGCTGTGTGAGACGGGATGCTGGACTAGATGGACCACTGGGCTGATCCAGCAGGCCTCTTCTGATGTTCTTAAGCTGATGACCAACGCGAGCAGGCTGAAGGCAACCAAGGTATGTAATGAGCAGGGACTGGAACCAAACAATCTGCCAGATCCCAATCAGACACTCAGCTGTGGCGTAATCCACATATTCATTCAACGGTATCAAGGATACTGGAACCAAGTCAGATGAATGGCATTTCCAACTAACTCATTCTAGCAATGCTGCTGTTCCTTTGCAAGCTGCCCACAGAAGGGACAACTGCACAGGCCAAACAGTGTCCTGAGCGGGGCTGGAATGAGAGAGTTAGCAACTCCATAGCAGAGCAGCAAGATCCATGCAGGCCATTGCCGCCACTGGTTCGGCAGGCTGCTGATGCTGTACAGAGAATGCAATCTTTCCAGGACAGGCCCCTAACCAGACTATTTAAACCAGTTCAAAGCAGGGGGCATTTCGTAGAAAAAGAGGTGCAGGAGCTCATTAACATAACTCGTTAGCATAACTTATTTGCATGCGTCACACCCCCTGACATCACCAGAAGTGTGTCAGAAGGCAACACCCACCACTCAGGCTCCACTGGACTGTTTTGGATTGCTTGCTGTTGGGGGGGGGGGATGTGCAGATCTGTCCTCGCAGAAGCGGGAGAGCTTGTACCTGAATAAAACTTGGTCTTAAAGGTGCCACTGGACTGTTTTGGACCGGGGGGCCGGGGGGGCTCTGCAACTTACCTGCCTCCTTCTTGCTCTGACTGAGGGCTGCTGGGAGCAGGGGGTGGGGGTGGGGCTTGCTGCATGTGCCTGCCCCCTGGGCTCTTTACTGCCGGAGCTCCACTCCAGTGCGCTCCTGCAGGAAATGACCCCTGGTTCAAAGTATATAGAATCATAGAATGTTAGAGTTGGAAGGGACCTTGCAGGTCATCTAGTCCAACCCCCTGCACTCTGCAGGAGCATAGCCGAAAGATAGCCCTGCAACATAGCCCTAGATACCTACCTCTGCCTCTAAATGTCTCAACAGGATGGCATGATCCACTGCATCAGAAATTGCAAGTAAATCAAGTAGAAACAACCAACAACCACAGTACTTGTCTACATTCGGGTTTCCAGAATTTCTCCACTGACCTCAGCTCCATTTCGAATTAGCATCCATGCTGCCTTTATTTTTCTTAGGAGCAATAAAAGGGACTTTTCTGCTGCTGAAGATCATCCTGTTCTCTTGCAAAAACTTACAGATCGATGCAGCAGAGAAGAAGTGGAACCAAAGAGACATTTTCCACTTCATTGTATAAAGGTAAAGGTTCCCTTGCTCGAAAGCCAGTCGAATCCGACTCTAGGGTTGCGGTGCTCATCTCCATTTCAAAGCCGAAGAGCCAGCACTGTCCGAAGACGTTTCCATGGTCATGTGGCCGGCATGACTAGATGCCAAGGCGCATGGAACGCAGTTACCTTCCCACCGAAGCGGTACCTATTTATCTACTTGCAATTTCTTGCTTTCGAACTGCTAGGTTGGCAGGAGCTGGAACTAGAGACGGGAGCTCACTCCGTCATGCGGCACCCGGGTCTCGAACTGCTGAACTACCGACCTTCCACCGCCTGCAGTTCAGCGTCTTAACCACTTGAGCCACCGTAGCTCCTTCATTGTATAAACCGAAATGCAAAAGGAAGATTTCCCCAAGTTCTCAGCAACATGAAGGACAATCTTTATGTTTCAAAAAGAAAGAAGCAAACTTATCTTGATAAAAAGAGAAGTCATTGCAGATGTGCAATTCGGACAGTTTTTGAATGCTTAAAGTAGCTTAAAATCTTTATGATTCAGTAAAAGAAATGCTGAATTTAAACATGGGAGATAATTGCAAACTGTGCAAGTTACAGAACTAATTGCTAATTGTATTAGTTACAGAAGCGCTGAAGAAGTGTGCGTGCACTTGAAAACTTACACCCAGAATTAGACTTTGTTGGTCTTAAAGGTGCCACTGGACTCAAACTTTGTTCTATTCTTTCAGACTAACACGGCCACCCACCTGAATCTGTATTAGTTACAGATACACAAACGTTATTCTGATGTAGGCTTGGCAAGTTAAAAATATATATATACTGGCTTTTCTCAGTCCCAAGTTTATATTTTGAAAAGATAAATACAATGCAGGATATAACAGCAACAATACCAGTATTATTATTATTATTGATGATGATGATAAATACTAATACTTTGTGCATCTGTTGAAATATTACTTGACTTGGCACTATTACTATCAGAGGTTGCAGGGGGGCCCCATTCTCTATTTCCAAATCTGTAATTATTTTATGCCCAGTATGAGTTTTTGCAGGAATAACCTAAGAGGTGCAAGAGTTTTTCTTTCACATGTGCACGCTAACATCTTACCTAAACTTATTCTTAAAAGCCTCCAGAGGGCACTGTGTCCCATACTTAAGGACAACACTTCTTTGCAATGCAGAATCCAGTCAGATATCCTGTACATTGGATCTCAAACATCTGGGACACCTTCATCATGGAAAAAATTACAGATACCTTATGTCCCGGTTCCGGTAAACCCACACACCCCGGGGACCCCAATGACCACCTACTCACCCAGTGGACCCATGGACCGAGGGGACCTCGCAATCAGGATCCCGGGACTTAACCCACACACCCCGGGAACCCCAACGACCACCTACTCACCCAGTAGACCCATGGACCAAGGGGACCTCACAATGCCGGACCCCGTCAG